TCCCAGGCACGATGGCGAGGACAGAAACCAAACATGCCCTAAATTCTCGCGCGAAGTAGTGTTTCAAATTATCCAGCATCATTTTGCGTACCTGTTGCGGCTGACAAATTTGCAACCGGTAAAACCAAGTCTGGGGTAACTTAGCTCGGACGAAACATGTAAGGACAAACTAATTTAACTCAGTCGTACACGCATGCATGCACACAGTAAAATATGTTCTTGGTCGTACCTACATGACGCGTGTACGCATGCAACATCATCCATCTCCTTGTTTAATCAGTCTATTACTTACGCAGTAGCAGATCGTTGTCACATCGACCATGGCCACGGGCAATGCACGCGACTTTCGAGGCAGCGCGAGCGAATGCCGCGCCCCGTGGGCGTACGAAAGGACTTTGATTAAATTTCTTCGATCAGTCCCAATCATACTATATATAGGTATTGATCAGGCTTAGCGTACGGGCAACACCTTCTTCTCCTTGTTTTAACATGTCCAATTAGTGCACCTGGTTGGCTGCTAGCTAGCTAGGCACGTAGTAGCTTGCTATTAGATCACAGTTGGTTTCAATCGGTCATGTGATAGATGCCTTGCACTATGTGACCTTCGATGCTCAATCTAGCGCTGTGCTTACAGTCTTAATTGTCGAAAGGGGTACTACAACTTGATTGATTAAAGTAGTGCACAGGTGAAACTCCTACTTTTCGCTGTTGTAGACCAGGAAAATCATTGTAGTAGTAGGCGTAGCTTTTAGCTTCTTTCTTCTTCTATACTATATTTCTAGCCTAATTAAGGCGCCTCGAAAAGATATACAGGTATGGAGTAGCATTTTAGGTTTATCATTTCTTCTTCTGTTTCTAGCCACTTGACTATTATGAGCTTATACCGCCACGAAAAGATACACCACTGTAGATCTATTCAGTATTCACCTATCTAGCTTGTTGATAAGGAGGAAGAGAACAGAATAGAAACTCCCAGTATGCTCTGATTGATCGTTTCCGGTTACTAGTAGAAAAGGGGGCATCAGTCCCGATTCGTAAGGGCCTTTAGTCCCGGTTCAAACTGGAACCGGTACTGAGGGTCGCGGCCACGTTACCAACCGAGACTAAAGGAAATTTTATGATTTTTCTTTTTTGAAAAAAAAATTGAATTTTTTTGACTTTTTTTATTTTCAAATTTCTGAATTATTTTAACCTCTAATCTCTAATCATCACCCCTCATCACTGCTCAATTTATCCTCTAATCTCTAATCACCCCTCATCATTCCTAATCATCTAACTTTCCGAACGGTCACCCATCCTCCCACTCCCCCAGCCTAAGCACGCTTAACTTTCGGGTTCTATTCTCCCTCGTTCCAAAGTCTGCACTTGTTGTTTTCCAAACAATAGTAAGATGTCAATCCTATTAACCCTCAGGAATTTTGCGTGAGCATGAAGTGACACATTTCACTGTTTGAGTTTGAAACTATTGTTTTAAAAAACAATAATTATTTAGTAACACTAATATTTCTTGAATAATTAGTTTGACCATTGTTTGACCACAGTTTGACCAGATTTGACCAAAATTCAAAATAACTAAAATAATTATGTAGTAACACTAATATTCTAGAATAATTAGTTATACCATTGTTTGACCATAGTTTGACCACACAGTTTGAATTTTTTTTGATTTTTTCCGCTCTAGATCTTAAAAGCCCCGTAACTTTTTTTCTGTTAGGTTTTTGAGGATTTTAAAAATGTTTAACGGGGTTCCACCATTCTTTATCAAGGTAACATGGGAAGCAGCTAACTTATAAACTGGAATCATGATGATACAGTTACGAAATTATCTAAAATTAACAGGAGTGCTATAAACAATAAACCTAAAATTAAAAAAAGTAGAGCTACTACTAAACCAGGACAGACTCATTTTTCATAGTTCCACACAAGTACTCACTATACACCCAGATGTACACAACTTCATATAAAAGTATAAAACCATTCTAACTAATTATCAAACTCAAACAAATAGCATAGACAGGTAGCACAAGGGCATAACCACATCAGGGGCCAATTTCCACGACAACAACACAAGGACGAGATTGTGGTGGCCAGAAGAGCACCACCACAGATAGCATGGCCAAAATACCAAACCCAAAATAATTGGCTCCATGGCCGGCACAAGAATTGGACATGGCTCGGCGCCAAGAACATCTCAGGTCACATGGGGGCTGAGAATCGACGACTCACCAAAACAAAGGGGGCGTACACGACCACCATGGTTGCAGCCAAACCGCAAGTGGTTGAGCATGAGCAGAACCTTATCAGGTAGGTAGGTAATCCACTAAATCACCATCAAGGATGGAACCATCCGGGCACCTGCATGAGGAAACATGCAAACTCAATAACAGAATTCTCACTAAAGTAGGATTCACTAGTGAGATTCAATGAGGCTACTGATGATTTAAATTGATGGGCAGATAATAACTATGTATGTATGAGTAACGAACAGCAATGCGACGACAAACTATCTATATAAAAAAATTACCAATAAAATATCCATATAACTATATGTTCTCACAGTAGATGAACCAAGTGCGTATCCGTTTGGTTTAAATACTTGAATGATGAAACATTTTCTTGTCAAAACACGAGGCGTTCAGCTGCAAAAATTCGCCCTTGTAAACCCCAGTCTACTTAACATTCAAGTGAACTAGTACTAGCACAATTTGGATGTAACTTTTCGAGTAGATGATTTTTCATATAAAAAACTTTTTCATCCGAGTTAGTATGCAAAAGTTATGCCCATTTTACTAAATTCTAGAGAGATTTTGCAAATAAAGTCGAAATTCACATTTGCAAATTCCCAACAACTAAACCACATATCACATGGGAAACTTATTTTCTTTTTCTTTTTTGACATTTTCATCGTTTTTTTTATTTTTTTGAAAACTGAAAAGGCGATCCAGGGGGGGTAGAGTTTGAAAATGGGACCTTTAGTACCGGTTCGTGCCATGAACCGGTACTAATGTCTCAAACCCTATTAGTACCGGTTCGTGGCACGAACCGGGACTAAAGGTCTAACCTTTTAGTCCCGGTTGGTGCCACGAACCGTACTAATGGGCATCGCACCCTTTAGTCCCGGTTCGTGGCACCAACCGGGACTAAAAGGTCCAGAGGAACCGGGACAAATGGCCCACGTGGCCCGGCCGGCCCCCTGGACTCACGAACCGGGACTAATGCCCCCATTAGTCCCGGTTCTGGATTGAACCGGGACTAATGGGCTAACCCGGCCTAGACCAAAGCCCTCTTTTCTACTAGTGGGTACTCCCAATATATATACTCCTTTCGACTCCTTTGTAGTTTGTACTCTATGTATAAGTTAAAAAAGTTTTTCTATGAGTATTATCATTCGCACCATGCATATGTGGCAAGGATACTTTTTTTTATCTAACGACCTAGAACATCATATCGTTAGCTCAGTTTCAAATACAAAGTGTGGCAAGGATATATTAATTGGAGGTTAGCCCACAGTCCAAGAACAATGCATGCAACCATGCATGTAACCCGGGTGTAGAGTAATATGCAAACTAAAAAGAAACATAGAGGGTATCTATTTTGCTGATAAGGAGGAGAATATATATGTACACGGCAATGTCATGCAAGACGGAGCGTGGTATATCTACCGTGTATGGGGTATCCCTTGGATGGATCCGTCATCCATGGTTGCTTTGAGATTTATGTCAGTTTTTTAGTTGTTATCAAAATTTATCTCATTTCTAAACCTTTCTTTCGGTTTTTGTCTTGTTTCAATGTGTATCGTCATGTTTCATTGTGTATCAATAAAAAATGCACTTGTTTTGGAACATGTTTGCTGGTAGACGATCGTACACGATAATCCCTTTGTTTCAAACTAATTGAAGTTTTAGGATTGTCCTAAGTCAAAATTCACTAAGTTTGAGCAAGTATGTATAAAATATCAGCATCTGTAAAACCGAATTATCTTTGCGGAATTTCCTATATAGACCGGGTCAAACTTAAAAAAGTTTAACTTGGGCCTAAGACTTCAATTATTTTGGAAGAGAGGAAGTAAAACATTGAAACACGGTTTAAAACAGAAAGAGAAACTCAATGTAATGCTATGAAATAAGAAAAATTCTAAGAACAATGAAAAAAATAGCATGAAAGCCAAAGCAATCACAAACGGTGAATCCATGAACAAGATATCCCGTGCACGGTGGAATTGCTTTTCAGAATGACTAGTTCACATCTAGATGTTTTTTAAGGATGTCACATCCAAATAGTTCATCACATAATTAGAAGCTTCAAGATTTGTAAAAGAAATTAATTATTTTTTGTTGATGTTGTGTGATGTCATACTTAGATGTGACATAATAATGTCACATCTAGATGAGTCCTTGCTTTTCACATGCATGACGTGGAAACTCTCAAAGGAAAAAAGAGAGTAAAAAGTAAAGGGTACATGCATGTTGTATACTTGTATCGCACTTGCATGCGCAAGAAAAGGGATGACGGTCTCATAATAGGTTTTGGATGGCTCTCTGCGACATCATGCCCGCGGATCACTTCCGGATATAAAAGCAAATATATACATAAGACATTTACGGGTCAGTTTTGAAGATGCCCTAACCCAATTCTATGAAATTCCTTAGAATCAAACGAGCCCTTGTCTGGCGTTATACTTGGTCGCGTCGGCAAGGGTGAAGATTGTACTCCGTCCGAAAATACTTGTCAATAAAATAGACAAAAAATGATGTATCTATAACCAAAATACATTTAGATACATTTTCTTTTATTTATTTTGATGACAAGTATTTTCGAACGGAGGAAGTACTGCTTAGCATGATATAGTTGTATATCAATTGTGAGCAGGCTGTCAGCCCGTAGGTGACGGAGCAGCCAGCGCGTACGTACCTACTGCATTTTCATACTAGTACTCACCATTAGCGAGCAAGAAGAAGCGAGAGAGACAGAGAAGAGGGCTGGCGGTCACATCTTCTCACATGGCGCCATGTGCAACAGCTCGACCAGTTGCTTGCTTCACCGGTAAGTAAATAAACAAATACTACAGTGAATAGACTGGTAAGATCGAATTGTCTTGTCACGTTTGCTATACAAGAACTGCAGCAGCAGCAGCAGCAGCTGGTAGCCATGAACAGCCATTGTCAGTTCCAAGCAACCCATCCCATGCAGCAGTATATACCATACACACACAAGAAAAGAGGAGAGAAGAGAAGAGACGAGAAGCGCATAGAGAGTTTTCTTCTCCTCCCCCTTGCTCTTTGTGGGGCGCCGCCGCATTTCAACTGCATCCATCGATCGGTAAGGTAAGCAACCCAACTCGCTCATCCATCTCTCGCCGCCCGGCCTCCTTGGCCGATCCATTCCCTTCCTCTTCCGTTGCTGTTCATAGCTCTACGTTTTCTCTTGATCCCCTTGGGTTGCTCCACTCCTCCTCCCTGTCCTGGCTGGGTGCATCGTGTTTGTTCGATTCCTCGTATCCTTGTACGGATGGATCATGGATCCTTGTTCTGCCTGCTCTACATGGGCATCCCTCCCTCCTACTCCGTCCGAATTAAACGACGCAACCTCTATACAAATTGTATAAAGACTTGTATAGATATTGCGTCAATTAATTTGGATGGAAGGGAGTACATAAATTTACATGCTGCCTGAATTTTTTGTTAAGTCGATTTGGCAGAGAAGAAGATGAGGGCAGAGGCACATGCGAAGCGAGGTCTCGTCAGGGCCTTGCCAGACACGGGGACGACATGGCTCGCAGCGGCGTTGCCGACGTTGGCCAGGATGAGGGGTTCCTAGGTGCGAGTGGGGCCTTTTTTTTACCGCGACTCGGACTAGAAGATAGCGAACTTGCCCGGCTGGACCCGGCCCGCGACTCGGACTAGAAGATAGCGAACTTGCCCGGCTGGACCCGGCCCGGAGACAGGGACGATGCGGCTGCCGCGCAACGTCGGCGCCAGGCACCACTAATATGTCCATAACGTTAGCAGGTAGCCAATGAATGTACTCGCTTCATCCCGTAATATAAGATGTTATTATGGGACAAAAGAGTATCATTTAGCGAGCTAGCCTCCTTACAGAACATCCCTCCGTTCCAAAATAGATGACCCAACTTCATACTAACTTTGTACTAAAATTAGTATAAAGTTGAGTCATCTATTTTGAAACAGAGGAAGTATACGAGAGTTTTATTTTAGCTTCTACGACACCGGGGCGGGATGAGCAACCCTATACCATGTGTAGCCGCACTCGGACAAGGGTTCTTAGGTGCGGATGGGGTGCTTTTCGTTTTGGACTGTCCCTCAGATTATGTAGCAACCTCGCCGGAGCATGAACGGGGCGGCGAGCGGCGGCGCCGCAGCTGGAGGTAGGCAAGGATGGGAGAGGAGTTGGGCCCAGCCGTTGGATTTTAATCCAAGGGCCGAGGAAAAATCAGTCGACTTACATGTAGTCCAGTCCTAAGAGCATCTCCAACAGGCGCGCGCGCTAAAAAGTGATTTGGCGCGCGCCCAACGCCTGGTTTGGCGCGGCGCGCGGCGTTTGCTCCAGCAGCCGCGCTGTAAAGCCCCCCGCGCGCGCAGCTCCAACAGGCGCGGTAAAAATACAGCGCGCGAACATTTTTTTTTGCATAGCTAAAAAAACGATGCAAGATATTTTACATAGATAGATAGATAGTTCAACATACATAGATAGATAGTTCGACATACATAGATAGATAGCCACTACTACGGCATAGATAGATAGATAGAAACTACTCCAAGTCGCTACCATCATCATCATCATCATCATCATCCTCGTCGGTGTCGTCCGAGGTTGAGAGCCATATGTCGTCCCAACGGTCATTGTCAGCCGTGAAGAACGACCTCCCACCTGCTGAAACTATGTCGCACTGCTCGTTCGCCAATGCCTTCCGCTGACGCCGGTCAGCCCGCTCCGCACGGCGCCTTGCCGTCCTCTCCGCCCAGTAGGCGTGCTCATCGGCGACGTCCTCCGGGTGGCGACGGCGCCACTCCGCCATGGCTCGCTCGTCCTCCTCGGCGACGAGGAGGCGGCGCTGCCGCCGAGCATGGTCGGCACGGTCGAGGTCGGTGATGAGACGCGGCGGAGGGGCGACGCGCTGCGCCTGCTCGCGCGTGAAGACGTCCCGGAAGTTCATCTGCGACCGGGGCCTGTCCAAGCGCCACGCCGCCGCGTCGTACGCGCGGGCCGCCTCGTGCGCGCTCCGAAATGTCCCGAGGCCGAGCCGCACGTCGCCGGACCGTATCTCGGCCGAGAACCAGCCGTTGGGGCGCGCGCGGACGCCGCGATAGCCCGAAGCACCCCGGCGGCGCGGCGGCATGGTGGCGCGGTGGTGGCGCGAAAAGCTGCGAAGCGGCGCGTGGCTGTGTGTGCGGTGCGCGTGGCTGTGTGCGGTGCGCGTGGCGGGCGCGGCGATTTATAGGCGCGCGGTAAGCGGCGCGCCAAATCTACCGCGCCGCGTGCCGCTTTCTCCCGCGCGCGCGTAAGTGCTTCCCATGCGCGATAAGTTCCCGCCACCGCTGGAGCGCGCGGAATCAGTCGGCGCGCGCTAAAACGTAATTTTACCGCGCGGGCGCGCCTTTTGCCGCGCGCGTTGGAGATGCTCTAAGCTACTCCTTTCAAAATAGATGACTCAATTAACCGGAACTGATCACAGCCACCGCGACGCCCCTATGATGTGACAACTAATTAATATCACTCTTGATTTCATACATACGCACACATATCGAGATCAACCAGCACTACAAGTTACAACCACCACTATAGCTACACCTCCTTCAAGAAGGTCAACTTGCATGCATGTTCAACCTGAAACCAAATTAACTCTTGGTCGAATATGTCTCTCTCTTAACTTCGAATTCCTCTGCAGGACAACCTGAGTAGCATGCAAGGCAGGACAGCAGCCCCTGCGGCCAGCAACAACCCCCCAGCTCGCTCTCATCAAAGCCATCCCGATGCCGCTGCTTCGTGGACAAATTCTGCCGGGGAGCTCACGCTACCCAACGGCGACCTCTACTCCGGCACGCTGTCGGGAGGGGTGCCGGAGGGCACGGGGCGGTACGTATGGTCAGGCAGCGGCTGCGTGTACGAGGGCGGGTGGAGGCGCGGGATGAGGCATGGCAACGGAAGGACGGAGTGGCCGTCGGGGGCCGTCTACGAAGGCGAATACTCCGGCGGCTTCATGGACGGCGAAGGAACGTACACCAACGGCTCCCCGTCCTCGTCTTACAAGGGGCAGTGGAAGCTGGACCGCAAGCACGGGCTCGGGCTCCAGGCGCACGCCAATGGCGACGTGTACCAGGGCTCCTGGGTCCAGGGCCAGATGGAAGGCCAGGGCAGGTACACGTGGGAGAACGGCAACAGCTACGTCGGCACCATGAGGAACGGCCTCATGTCCGGCAAAGGGGTCCTCACGTGGAGCACCGGGGACTCGTTCCAGGGGAACTGGGTCGCCGGCGTGGCGCACGGCTACGGGCTGTACACCTGGGAGGGCGGCGGGTGCTACCTCGGGACCTGGTCCAGGGGGCTCAAGGACGGTAAGGGCACCTTCTACCCCGAACGCCGCAGGGTTCCCGCCGCTCGCCTCGACGACCTGAGGAAGAGGTGCGTGCTGCCTGACGTCTCCTTTGGCACCGGCGCGGACCCGGAGCCCGCGGCGGCGGATGGGAGTTTGTCCAGGAGGAACTCGGGCCTCGGGCGGCCTGCGATGAAGAAGAGGCCCTCTCTGCAGAGACGCCGGAGTATCGGCGCGGCCATCGGAGTGGCCGTCGGGGTGGTCACCGGAGGTCCTGCGGGTCCTGAGAAAACGCTGAAATGTGAAGACACGGCTGGTTCTAGCTCTCAGATACTCGAGAGGGAGTACGCGCAGGGCGTTCTGATCAGCGAGGTCGTGCTGGATAAGAGCCTCCCGGATTCGCCGTCGTCCAAGAAACCGAGACTTCGACGGAGCAGGAAGGTGAAGGATGCCAAAAGGCCTGGAGAGACGATAATTAAAGGGCACAGGAGCTACGATCTGATGCTCTGTCTGCAGCTTGGAATCAGGTAATGCATAACTCCCGTCCGGAATTAGTAATTAGTTGTCGCTCAACTAATTCCATAATGCTAGATACATCCGTTTGAGCAACAATTAATTCTCAACTGAGGGAATCTTAATTTTCAACAGTTTCCTGATCTACATCGCTGTGAGCTATGAAGTCTATGATCCGATAATTTAGTTTCCTTTATCGACATGAGAGTGTTACTATCTTCTAAGGTTGAATGTGGTTGTACGCCTGTACTCACAGCGTGTTTGGTAACTACAGGGAGAGGGAATGGGAGTTTAGGGATTTGAGTTTGTTAAAGGATTAGACATGGGAAATTGATTTGAACTCGCATTCCTTTGTTTGGCATGTGAAGGTAATTTAAGGTGGGAATTTAGAAGAGAATTAACTGCCCCTATTTAATTGGTGAGATTAGGTAGATGAATAAACAACTTTCAACGTGCAATGCCTCTCCTCACGGACGTGCCAACTAACAGAACGTTTTTTTCTGTACCAATTCCCAATCCCCAGTTAAATTACCAGGGGTCCCCAGGAAAGAGATTCGAAGGAGTTGGACCAGTTAATTCCTCTTCCCCTTCCCTCCTTAATTCCCCTGTCTCTGAATCAATCAAGGGATTGAAAGTGTCACTTACCTTAAACTCCCATTCCCTGTCTCCAACTCCCCCCAACCAAACACGCTGTCAAGGTTTCATTTTAGCTAGATCTCAGTCAGCTGAATTTTTGTTTTGTGGTCAATCGATTTTTTGACCCTTGGATTGTGCTTTAAGATTTGTGTAGCTTTTCTTTTTTCTGTCAAATTTTGCTGGTGGTATTGGGCTGTTTGGATTCGGTTGACACCTACTTTGGGTCAGTCGATTTTCTTTTTGGGCTGGATTTTGGTGTGTGTATGCTCTTTTTTCATGTGTTTATTTTTGTTTTCAGAACATGTAGGCTTTTATTTTTTATTTTCAGTTGAGCATTTTTTTACATGTATTTTCAGATGTTGAGTGCGTGAAAATGTATACATGCAAGTACTACATGTACAAATTACATCAAAGTACTGAAACTTCACTCTTATATATTTATTCTACATATTATAAAAAGTGCATTTTATGCTAATTGTGTGGATAATTTTTTCTTTATTCGGTAATACCAATGCTAATTGTTTTGCTAATTTAATACATTCTATTATTATTTGTATGTATGCATGAAAATACAATACAATATGTGTGTAAATTATACTAGACTGCTCAAGTTGCATTATTATATTTGTATTTGCTGCATATTATAACAAGTGCAATTTCAGTGCAAAGTTGTGTACAAGTTTTTTCTTTATTTTCTTTCTTCTTAAGAGTAATACCAATGTCGCTAATTTATTCTCTCGTAGAAAACTTTATTTGTTTTATTATGTTTAGTTTTTAATTCATTTCCTGTTTTAAGGATGATACCAATGCCACTTATTCGTTCCTTGTTTAATTTTTCTTTGTTTTTATGTAAAATTCACTATAATATGTTTATTCTTACATAACTAGAAAAAGAGCAATTTATATGTAAATTGTGTGCAAATTGTATCACTATTTTTTTAATTCCTTTCTTCTTAAAGGTGGTACCAATGCCACTATACTTCATTTCTTCTTTGAAAAAAAATATATATTTGAGTTTGTAAGTAAGTATACACGCAAGTATGATACACCATGTGTGTAAATTACAATATAAGCAAAAAATGCACTGTATATGCTTATTTTTGGCATATTAGAAAAGTGCAATTTCAGGGCATACTTGTGTGCAAGTTATTTTTTAATTTTATTTCTTCTTAAAGGGTTCCATTTTCCAAAAACTTCATTAGTTTGTTTTGGTTTTTGTTTTATATTTTCTTTCTTATTAAAGGGTTTTATTCTTACATAGAAAACTTCATTTTTTTTAGTTTTTATATTTTGTTTTCTTAAAGGGTTTCTTTCTTCCATAGAAAACTTTATTATTTTGTATTTGTTTTTGTTTTTTATTTTCTTTCTTCTTAAAGGGTTTCATTCTTCCCTAGAAAACTTCATTATTTTGTTTTTGTTTTTGCTTTTTTACTTTCTTCTTAAAGGGTTTCAATCTTCCCTAGAAAATTTCATTATTTTATTTTGGATTTTTATTATCTTTTTCTTAAAGGGTTTTATTCTTCCCTAGAAAAATTCATTATTTTGTTTTAATTTTAATTTATTTCATTTCATTTTCTTTCTTTAATGGTAAAACCTTTATTTTTGCATATTATAACATAGCGCAATTTCTGTGTAAATTGCGTTCAAATATTGCCATTACTTGGTTTTTACCGGAGAATTGCTTGCTTTTCATGCTGCAGCTGCCGCCTCGGGTGCTTCTGCAATTTGTATTGTGGGTATCCTTGCATGCAGCATGCATCTGTGGGCGTGATTTTGCGGTAGGCTTTTACCGGAGGCAGGTAGCAGTTGCTTCTTATGTGCAGAACAAAGCTGTGTGTGCCGTTCGACTGACACCTATTTTGGGTCAGTCAGCTGACCTGTAGCCGCTCCCCAAGGTTTTGGTTACCAGGCGGTAAATTCGGTTACCGCCCGGTAACCATACATCTCGGCGCCCCACGGGAAATTGCCTTGCTGAGGAAAAAAAAATCCGAATTGTGAATGAATTTTGGCTGAATTCTTTTCACAGTCAAAATTCACTAAAAAAAACTGTTTGGTAACTG